ATATGATTAATTCCATGTTGAACAGTTCTGGTGCACCACATAATTTATGGGGTGAGGCACTCCTTGCTGCAAATACGATTTTGAACCGAATTCCACATAAGAAGACTAATCAATCTCCTTATGAAATCTGGAAAGGTAGGTTACCTACATATAAAACCTTGAAAGTGTGGGGTTGTCTTGCAAAAGTTCAAGTGCCTCTTCCGAAGAGACAAAAACTTGGACCAAAAACAGTGGATTGTATTTTTATTGGTCATGCCTATAATAGTTCAGCATATAGATTTTTGGTTCATAAATCTGAAATTGCAGACATTCATATAAACACTATACTTGAATCTGCAGAAGTTGAGTTCTTTAAGGAAATTTTTCCTTACAAAGATAGGTCATATGTTTTGAACAAAAGAGTACATGAGGTTACTACAAGAAATGATGACAATAATCATGCCTCAACTTCGAGAGTTCAAATCCAAGATTTGGAACCACGAAAGAGTAAAAGAGCAAAAATTGCAAAGGATTTTGGTCCTGATTTCCTCACTTTTGTGACTGAAGAAGAGCCTCAAACTTATAAGGCTGCATTAGAATCATCTGAAGCACCTTATTGGAAAGAAGCTATTCAAAGTGAAATAGAATCCATCATGCAAAATAATACATGGGAATTGGTTAATTTGCCTCCTGGAAATAAACCAATAGGACACAAATGGATTTTCAAGAGGAAATTGAGACCGGATGGTACCATAGACAAGTATAAGGCTCGTTTAGTTGCCAAAGGGTATCGTCAAAAAGAAGGACTTGACTATTTTGACACTTATTCACCAGTAGCTAGAATAACATCTATAAGGTTATTAATGGCTATAGCGTCTGTGTACAATCTTGAGATACATCAAATGGATGTCAAGACTGCATTTCTAAATGGTGAATTAGACGAAGAAATATATATGGATCAACCTGAAGGTTTCATTGTCAAAGGTCAAGAAAAGAAAGTTTGCAAGTTGATTAAGTCATTATATGGACTCAAACAAGCGCCTAAGCAATGGCATGAAAAATTCGATCATAATATGATTACAAATGGATTTGTAATCAATGAAAGTGATAAATGCATTTATGTTAAGAAAACGAAAAATGCTTGTGTTATTGTATGTCTATATGTTGATGACATGCTTATAATGGGAACAAAAAGATGTGATTAACTCCACAAAGAAAATGCTAAATTCTAGTTTTGACATGAAAGATATGGGATTAGCTGATGTGATTCTTGGAGTTCGAATTCTAAGGAATTCAGATGGATATGTCCTAACTCAATCACATTATGTGGAAAAGGTTCTAAAAAGGTTTGGACATTATGATTGTAAACCTGCAGTAACTCCTTTTGATCCCATTCATAAACTTACTAAAAACGAAGAAGAGAGCGTATCTCAATTGGAGTATACCCAAGTTATAGGTTGCTTGATGTACATTATGAATTGTACAAGACCTGATCTTGCTTATTCAATAAGCCGACTAAGTAGGTATTCAAGTAATCCTGGAAGAGATCATTGGAATGCTTTAATAAGGGTATTAAGATATTTAAAGCATACACTAAACTATGGTTTGCATTACACTCAATATCCCCCAGTATTAGAAGGATATAGTGATGCAAATTGGATTTCAGGGAGCACAGACAGTAAATCCACAAGTGGATATGTATTTACACTTGGTGGAGCAGCTGTGTCATGGAAATCATCCAAGCAAACATGTATAGCACGTTCGACAATGGAATCAGAGTTTATAGCCTTAGATACAGCTGCTGATGAAGCTGAATGGCTTAAACATTTTCTGGAAGATATTCCATTCTGGCCCAAGCCTGTGACTGCAATATGTACACATTGTGACAGCATGGCTGCACAAGGTCGAGCCAAAAATGCTGAATATAATAGGAAGTCGAGACATATAAGGCGACGACATAAAACCATTAGACAACTACTCAAGAATGGAACTATTTCCATTGATTATATTAAATCTAAAGAGAATATTGCCGATCCTTTGACAAAAGGCCTATCCAAGGATCAAGTGGCATTTACATCGAAGGGAATGGGTTTAAAGCCAACTCAATGAGTTATAACTTGACGGAAACCTAACCTAGCTAATTGGAGATCCCATGGTCTAGGTTCAATAGGCAAACTAGTTGAGGAAAACTCAAAGGAAACAACACAATCTTTACTCATTCTTATGATGGAACATAGTGTGTTGCCTGTTAGACGGAAAGGGTGAATAACTATTCTTAATAATGCTAATATCTTATGATTAAGATGAATAGAACAGGATATTCCTTATTAGCATTACCTATATGAGATTGATGTGGGGTCGCATCTTTGAGAATTGGTATGGCTACAATTCTCTAAAGGTCTCATGAAACCAGGATATGTTCAGGACCAAAATGAACACAACCGTATGAATTGACGTGTGTCAAGATGTGATATGTGTGATACTTATTGTTTCGATTTTACTACAAGAATGATCAGTTCAAGATAGTAAATTCACTGCTTCATTAGGTAAAACCGGTAAGTACTCACTAGAGAAGGTTCAAGTCCAAAAGACACCTATCCCGATGCGTATCATATCTAAGTTCTCTGGAAGTACATTACTAAGGTAGCTAGTATCTTATTTTCAATTCAAATGTGGGGTATTGCTAAAGTTTGAATAGAAAATGTGGGGTATTGTTGGAACTTGTATTTTCTGTGGGATTTGGAGTCCCACATCGCCCAAACATCATTCTTGTTAAGTCTTTATAAGTGAGTTCACTCACTTATAGTTTGAAAAGAATTGGGCCAAAGCCATGGACCTTGGGCCTTAGAATTAGAGAGTTTGGGTGTATATATTAAATGTCAAAGATGGGCCTTGGGCCTTGGGGCTCTTGGGCTCGGATGGACGAAAAACACAAGTTACGTTTTTGATTTTTTGGACTCAGTTTTTTAACAGTTACGATCAGTTTTATTGAAAAGTTGCATTCGGTTTTCTTTTTACAAAAACTGATAAGGATGAACGGTTGGAGAAGTTCAACTGATGCCATTATATATATGGCAATAAAAATCAGAAACGGAAGTCAAGTTTTTCCAGATTCATTCCTTCATATTTCGCTGAGAACCACACAACCAATTCGCCAAGAATCCAAGTTCGAGTGCAAGAACTTGGATTAGATAGTTGTATCCTGCAAGATAGACGTCCATACGAACTACTGCACTGGTGTAGAGGCGTATTTCTGTCTTAGGAGATTGCTACTGCAAGCCTCTATCTTCCTAATCAAGTCAGTGTTTTGTGATTCATTAATTCAGTTTTGTAATTGTTTATATTGTGAGATATATAGATATATATATATATATATATATTGTTTCCTTATGAAATTACTATTCGAAATAAACTGTGCAATTGTTGTATAATATATAATACTTAACGTTTGATTGATTATAACAGGATTTTAGTGTGTATATATATATGTAAATAATAGTATGTGATATGTGAGAAGGAAAATTTAATTCAAACGAGAATCAAAATCTCAATTCTCGATAGAAATCCATTTTAGCAAATTTAAACATGACAAGTCCTAAATTGTAGGAATTTAAAACTCTAATTATGGGATCAGTTTGATAATAATACTACTACTAAAGATATTGAGAGAAAAGCAAAGATCAAATGCTAGAAAGCAAATATATCAACATTACTACAGATCTATAATTCGAAAATAAGCAAAGTTATAATACAAAGCTATATTAAAACTTCTCCCTCAATCTCTCTTAACCACAAGTCCATTCATTCGTCCATATATGCTTATCCTTGTATTCCTCCTTATTAGTTGTTGCATTTTGGTACAGCTGGTACTTAGAAACCGTGCAATAGACAACTACGTCGAATTCGAAGCTTGATCTTGAAATCCCGGATTTGTATAGATGAAAACGCAAAAATAATTCATGTTCAAGAGAGAACAAAAGACATTTGTCATTCATCTTGTGTCTTCCTAGAAAATGTGACCACTAATCTGCAAATTGTCTGCAAACAATGAATATTTCTTGGAAATATTGAAATATCGAAAATATCGAGAAAATTGACTCATTTTCGAAAATATCACGGATATGAGGTGAAGTTTAGACTTCACCCCCTTTCCATATCGTTCCTTGAATTTTTGAATATTTCAGTGGAAATATCGAGCATATCCATGATATTTCAAACACTGTGTTGGATGAGAAATTTAAGATTAGTAAAGAATTTCTATTTTTAAATTTTGTTTTAATTTTCTTATTTGGTTAACTTAAAATAACAATAAAATTTGAATACGAAATTTAATATGTGTATATATATAGTCATTAATATATACTAGCATATGAGCACACACAAAGTGTGAGAAAATTTTTTATTTTTGTTTTTGAAATATAAGGAGAAACGAAGAGAGTGATAGAGAGTGTGAGAGTGAGAAGTTTTTTTTTTTTTTTTTTTTTCAATTAGAAATATGTTAGGATTACATGTAGGTGATACTTTCAAAAAAAAAAAGCAAAATTTGGTTGTGTGAAATTACATTTATGCCCCATATTTCTTATTCATGTTCTGTTTTAATTAGAGGGTTAAACTGGTAATTTCATATAGTTTTGGTTGACAATGAGTGTTTTATTAAGCCGTAGAGATGAGAGATACTAGTTAGAAAATGTAACAGTAGTGGTGGTAGTGACGATGGTGATGATAGTGTGTAGTGGTTGCGGGTTGTGATATCAGTGGTGGCTATAACAGGGGCCACAACCGTATATAGTGGTGCCGGCAACCATGATGGTGATGATGATTGTGAGTGGTGGTGGTAGATGACGGTGACATGTGACGGTCAAAATGACACTTATTTATATAGAATTTAAATTTAAAAATTAGAGATTTCAAATTCTAAATTTTCTTTTTCCACTAAAAATTTTAAATTACTAGGTTTATGAATCTTTGGAAGTAGTGGACGTCAATTTATAAATTTTTTTTTCTAATTAAAATTATTTTCTTCTTCCAAAAGTTAATTTCCAGAAGCGATACGTGTTTATCCATTTGCGTGGCACGTCATGGTTAATGGGGTACTGGTACATAGTATCTAAGAGACGAACGGCGGGGTAAGCGAAGGAGAGATCGGAATGGACGGCCCTCCAGGCGGCGATCTGTGTTCGGTTTGCCATGGCAACTTCGACACTCCTTGTCCAGCCAATTGCTCTCACTGGTTTTGCGGTACCTTTCTTCCTCCCTCACGCTCATTCCTATTTCCTCGCTTACATTTCAGTCAGTCAACCAATGTTGTTATTGGTTTTGTGCAATCTAAAAGAACCCTAAACCCAATTTGTCTTCGATTTCTCCGTTCAACTGTATTTTATGCATTTTCGAGAAATCGCTGTAGATATCCGTTAATAGTCATTATCATTTGATATCATGGAAACCGGTCATATTCATTATGGACTGTTAGTCTCTTGATCTTATTGAAGTCAAAACAGGATGTCATTTTGTACATGTAATTATACTCTGCAGAGTTCTGTAAGGAAGAACACGTTTGTGTAGGTTTCCAAGACTTGCATCTTAAAAATGTTGAAAAGGAAACGCGTATATGTAAAAAAATATTCCCCTCTCCGCTCCCAATGTCTGTTATTCCAAGTAGAATGGACTTGATATTCTTGGTCCGCCTATCATTTAACGTCTGATATAGCCAGTTTTTCCAAGCACAATTCCAAGTCTGGTTATAAATCCCGCGGATGCCCGTGGTGCCTATATATATATATATATATAATGATCATTTGAACTTGATGATACAGCTCCTTAACTCATTCATCATTCATAGAGGCCCAATGCTGTTTTGAGCTTGACTCTAGTTATAGAACATCTCTCGCTTAGGCTTTAACCTTATGTTTGGATGAGAGATTTTCGAGTACCAAGGAAATTTAAGCTCTATTGTTAAAATGCATCACAAGAACACTACCAGTGAACTACTCAAGCACTGTTAAGCTACTACTAAAACAACTTTAAATGACACCTTCAAGGAGTTATTTGAAGTTGATTTCAAGTCCCTTTATCAATTTTTTGTAGTGCATTCTTAACAAATTTATCATACGTTACATGGAACTTAAAAATACCCTCTCCAAGCGCACCATAAGGACTTTTGATGTTTGACAAGTTTACTGCTTCTAATGGGTAGTCTTAGTTTCTGGTTCCTTACTGGAATACGTGATGCAGGACATTAGGAATAAATACGAACAGGGTAGATATCTGGACTCACCCCGGCCTTTGGTATCACACCAAAAGAGTATTTAGATAAATTCCAGCATCACACCGACCTTCTGCATCACAACTGATTTTAAATACAGATTGAAGGGAAACAATGCAAAATTTCCTTCTTGAAAAGAAGGAAAACTTAAATAGGACCACAATTGCCAATTTTATTAGTTCAATTCAATGAATTACTTTCTCTCTCAGAGACCTTTTTTTGTTACAAGAGATTAGTACAGATTCTAGATTCCTAGTTAAGAGCTAAGCCCTATACCCTAAGCTTTTAAACGGTGACTGCATCCTAAAGTAATCAACCATAAATTCTACTCCCTAAGCCTGTAAAAGATTAAAGAAAAAAGAAAACTAATGAAAGGGCTTGAAAACTTTGAGTTTTAACGATAAGGACAAAATAAAGGTAAAGTGAATAGTACCAGTATTAATTTTTAGTGTAAAAATGTGATTTTTCGTTAAAGTGAACAATACTGGGAGCTTTTCGTTAAAGTTCCCTACAGAAAATGGTCGTTGTGCCAATGGGTGTGGAAAAGTAGAAAAGCAGCTGGGCGCTGTGAAGGAATAGGACTCTACTTGTGTGTTCCCAAAAATTCAGAATTTGTTACTGTGCCAGTGGCCACATCAGAAACTGTGTAACTTGCCATGGTACTTTTTGTTTTCGCAAAGTACTTAACCAAAACCTGTTATGTGTTGTCTTGTCATTTAGCAGTTTGAGGCACTCCCTCATGCACACACACAAGCACACGCATAAATTTAAACACACCCTACTTTCAAGTTATTGTATATGAACCATTTAAGATTTAAACATATGGTGACTGGTCTCACATTTCATGACTGTATAAACGCCTTTAGCCAAAATGATTCTTGAAATTTGCATAACTCCTTACTTTGATGACAGAAGTGGTCTCTGAGATTGTCCATTGTCAATCATTTTGGTCCTTTCGTGAAAATCTCCATTAAATTGAGGGTATTTTTGTCATATCAACCCCTCCACTTGAACTTGTGGTTTCTTAAATTTAACGAAGATTTTTCACAGAAGAACCAAAATGATTTATGGTGGACAATTTCATGGAGCACTTCTATCAATTTTAAATCTTAAGGACTAAAATGAGTAGTTATGACAATCTCAGGACCATTTTGGCTAAAAAGCCTTGTATAAAATATGCCCTTTCTAACACTTTCTCTAATTATTTTTCAGGAGAGATATGGTTTTCTTTTTAATCTGATCAGTTGTCCTTGATCTTAATAATCAAAAGTGGATCTCCTATTAGCCAGTTTTCTCGAGACCCCTGCTGCAAATTCGGGCAAAGTCATGCAATCAGTTCTTGCTTACCATGTTATTATGTGCAGAAGATACTTTATAGTGTATGCCACCATCTTATTCTCGTTTCATCCCAAGAGGCCTTTCTATATCTCAAATCCAAAGATTCATACCTAAAAGCTGGAAGGAAGGAACGAAACAGTTTGGGAAATCATCTGCTTTATGTATTTTGGAAACAGATTCAGCTGTTGATTATTCTATGATAGATTCTCTTCTTACATCCATCAAGCATTATGCAAGCCAAGGAAATTTATCAAAAGCATTCAAAACTATCTCCCTTGTCCAGCTCCATGCCGCTTCTCCTACTTGTGACCTTATCTTACATTCCATCTCTTCTGTTATCTTATCTTGTGCCAACCATAAAGCATTACCACAGGGTGAACAACTTCATGCACATATTGTTAGATTGGGGTTTGAACAACACCCCATTTTGGTTCCCAAGCTGGTTACATTTTACTCAAGCTTTAATCTCCATGCTGAGGCTCGTATCATTCTTGAGAATTCAAATATATTGCATCCTCTACCTTGGAATGTGCTCATCTCTTCATATGTTAAAAATGAACTTTTGGATGAGGCTCTCTCTACGTATAAACAAATGGTCGACAAGGGGATTAGGCCAGATTGTTTCACTTACCCATCTGTTCTCAAGGCTTGTGGTGAAAAATTGGATATAAGTTTTGGCAGGGAGGTGCATAAGTCCATTGATGCTCATTGTCAGGAGTGGAATTTATTTGTGCATAATTCATTGGTCTCCATGTATGGGAAATTTGGGCTTCTCGACATTGCTCGTCACTTATTCGACAAAATGCCCACAAGGGATGCAATTTCTTGGAATGCAATGATCTCTGGTTATGCCTCCAAGGGCATGTGGACGGATGCATTCGAGCTGTTTGGAAACATGCAGATGGAGGGTATTGGTGATTAATATCTTACTTTGGAATACCATTGCTGGTGGGTGCTTGAGGACAGGTAATTTCAGGGTGCTCTTGAGTTGCTTTCTCAAATGATAAGTTATGGTATTTTATTGGACTCAGTAGCATTGACAATTGGTTTGAGTGCTTGTTCCCACAATGGAGCCATTAAATTAGGGAAGGAAATTCATGGTTTTGCGATTCGTAGTGGTTGTGATGGTTATGATAATGTTAATAATGCATTGATTACATTGTATTCTAGGTGCAAAGACCTTAGGAAAGCCTATACTTTGTTTAAATTGATAGAAGATAGGAGTATAATTACTTGGAACTCCATGCTTTCTGGTTATTCTCACATGGATCGAGCTGAGGAAGCTTCATTCTTATTTAGGGAGATGTTGTGTTCAGGAATTGAACCTAACTATGTTACTATTGCCAGCATCCTCCCTCTCTGTGCTCGGGTAGCAAACCTTCAACATGGGAAGGAGTTCCACTGCTACATTACAAAGCGTGTAGTGTTTGATGATTGTTTATTGCTACGGAATGCGCTTGTGGACATGTATGCCAGATCGGGCAAGGTTTTACAGGCGAAAAGAGTATTTGATTCAATGTCGAAGAGGGATGAAGTAACTTATACTTGCATGATTGCGGGATATGGAGTCCAGGGTGAAGGAAAAGCTGCACTGAAGTTATTCGAAGAGATGAACTTGTTACACATAAAACCAGATCATGTAACTATGGTTTCAATTTTATCAGCTGTAGCCATTCTGGTCTAGTAATCCAAGGCCAAATGATATTTGAAAAGATGCTGAGTGTTTACGGTATAACTCCTGATTTGGAGCACTATGCCTGCATGGTTGATCTCTTTGGGAGGGCCGGTCTACTAAACAAAGCAAAGGAGATTATCACAAGGATGCCTTACAAGCCAACTTCTGCTATGTGGGCTACACTTATTGGAGCATGTCAGATCCATGGAAATATGGAGATAGGGGAATGGGCAGCCGGGAAGCTGTTAGAAATGAGACCAGAAAATTCTGGTTACTATGTGTTAATTGCTAACATGTATGCTGCTGCTGGTTGTTGGAACAACCTAGCGAGAGTGAGGACTTTCATGAGGGACTTGGGTGTGAGGAAGGATCCTGGCTGTGCTTGGGTTGATGTGGGCAATGGATTTTCACCCTTTTTGGTGGGGGACACAACAAATCGGCTGAGAGATGAAATTTACCTTTTGTTGGATGGCTTAACGGAGTTGATGAAAGATACTGATTCCGTTGTCAATGGGGATATAAGTTCAGGTTATGATGTTTTTGAGGATTAGAATAGAAGGAAGCTGATTATACAAAAAGGATTGCTAACACAATGCCATGTAAATTGATTTCAATTCTGTAATCTTGAGACACTTGCAGATCCATGGGTTTACCAATTTTGAAGTGGAAATTACTCTCTTCTAAAACCCCGTGGATAGGTACTGTTCATTAACAGTGCCCACCTGGTTTTACCCCTTTCTCTTCATGTTTTTTCGGCTTTAGTGGGTTTGTATGGTGATTTGGCCATTTTGCCCCTCTAATTTTTTCGTGTTGTGCTTTCTAGGGAAGAAGCATCTTTCACTATTCACTTTCCTTTTCAATTCTTCCGTCTTTCTGTTTTTTTCTATTTCTCTGTCTGTCTTTCTGTTTCGATTCCGATCGGATCGTGTGGAAGGGTGTTTAGCCTGTTTTTCTCGCTGTTTTCCGCGGTTTAGGTGTGTTTGTTCATGGATTGCTTTATATTCTGTTTGGTTAGCAAGAAAATTTTTGAATTGATTGCTGTAAAAATTTGACTTTACACCTTTTTGGCTAAGCGTTTTCTTTATTTTTCTGTGCTTTGTGTGCCGTTGTGTCGTCTGTTTTCGTTTTTTTCGTGTAGGAAACATTCATCTTCCAATTTTAGGGTTTTATTGTGCGAGCTTGCAAGCCCTTTCTGGGTCATATATGATTTGGTTCTTTTTTATTTCCAGGAAGAAGTGGTCATCATTTTTTTTGCCACTTTTGTGTGTAGGGTTCGAGGTGCTTGAGGTATTTACTTCCAAGTTGTTTAATTTTTTTTTTTTGCCCTTGAGTTTTTACTGAAATTTGTGACTTTTTTGTGCATAGGTTAATTTGTGAATTTCAAGGGGATTAAATTACCCAGATTACCCAAACATACATATATATATTCTTTGAGAATGCAATTGAGAATTCACTGATTTCTGGAATTCAAACAATTTATAGGTTACTGCATTCACATCTTCATAAGGAGATATTGACATAGATAAATGCAGTAGAGTAATATCACCATCTAAAAATCTGCACTGCATTCTATTACCACTCATTTTAATAACATTTATAATCTCATCTGTCTTGCTAAAATGATGGGCCTGTTTCTTTTAAATTTTTCTGCTGATAACGTTAATAATGTTGTTGATAATGTTTTTGTTTACAATCCACAGTCAATGGACTGAACCTAGGGAAAGAGTGAAAGAGTATGCAGGTATTTCCTTTGTTTTGGGTGAGTCACAATTGCCCAGTGCATATAGTCTGCTTCAATTTTCATCTTCTTCCGGATTTCTGTGCAATTTTTTTGAATCCCAATTGATTCAAATTCAAATTTGTATAAGTTGACAAGTGTGGTTGTCGACACCCAATCAGTTACAAGCTTTCAGCTTCTTAAAAAGCTAAAACGTCTTTCTTTTTTACTATCTAATTTGCCTATTTTCACCAAATTTACAGATCTTCTCTCTCTGTCTCCCCTCAGCTGGATCGATGACAAAAAAAGTACATAGGGATGCATTTGACTCCCACTTTTGAAGTTCCTTCCATGAGCAGGCACCTAAGAACTAGCGATTGGTGAGTTCCAAAAAGTTGATTCTTCTTGTTATTCAAGCAGTGGTGTTATGACGTCGAGCGGAATGGAGAACCATCGAACTAGTAGTTTTAAATTTATGTTTTTAAGACTAATTAAATTTAAGGTTTTTTATAAGTTATGTATTTGGACTTAATTAAACTTTAATTCCTGTTTGGTTTTTTAAATAATTGAATGAAATATAATATTAATTTATTTAAGGTTTTAATTATTTTTAGAATAAATATTATAACTGAAAATTTGTTTGTAATTATGAAGTTTACATAATATAGACATCTATGTATACATAAACTTCATAATTACAATCAATCACGTTTGTCACTAGAATGTTTGCGTGACAAAGCTTGTCACTGTGCAAATCCTTGCATGACAAAGGTTGTTGTTGTGCAAAACCTTGCATGACAAAGCCTTCGTCGTGCAAATTATATTTAGTGCATCTGAATCAAAGAAATCAATATTATATTTAATGCAGATGTTTGCGCGACAGAGTCTTCGTCGTGCAAAGTTCCTAACCTTCCTATAAATTTGCACTTCTGCTCTCTTTATTCTTCACAATTCATTTTGAAAATGCTTACCAAGTTTGCAAATTATAATTAGTTCGTTATTTGATTGTTGGTACGATGGGTGATAGTGGTGCGTGTTCGTTAAAGACAACGGATAGCGAAGGTTCCGGACAAGGTTTGCGTTGTAAATTTTGCATTTTGTATAAAAAATTTACTTAGCTTCAGTATTATGAAAATATATTTTGTGGATAGACAAGAAGAAATTTGTTGTGGGTACGGGTTCGACACAATTATGATCGCAATCGTTACCAAATCACTGCTAACCAAGTAATAGGGGTTGTGAAGTCAGAACAACATGCCAGCTTATGGTCCTACGTTGGAGCATTGTTGCGTACCAAATGTGATGCGGATTGGGAGTCTTAGAGAGCCATCCATGAGGAGCTAAAGATGCACATGATTGATGAGTTAGTTGTATGTGTTAATTTTATTAGTTAAATAATAATGTTTGTTAAATATAATATAATAGTGAGCTTTTAATTTATTAATTTTGCATGATAGCCCAATTAGGACATTGACAAAAGTGACCCAAATCTGAAGAAGGCTATTGACAACATGTTCAAGTTGCGTTTCCGGGAGTGGAAGTTTGATAATCAACGCGGGATAAAACTACAACAAGAATCAGAACTACCAGCAGATGAGTAGAATAGGGTTTTTTATTTTTATTTTATTGCTTATTTAATAATTAGATCTGAATTTTAAGTTTTTTTAGTATGAAGAGTTTAATTAAATATGTACTTAATGTTTATTATAAATAAAATTAATGCATTTTAATAAATATGTATATTAATTAATTATGCACAAATGGTATAATGAAATAAATTCTTGATTTATTAAGTATGTATGTGGCTTGAAAAAATTTGAAGAGTGAATGGAAAAATAATTTTTTTTTTCTTTCGAAAAACGAATGCTAAAAAATAAAAAAAATAAAAAAAATAAAGTAATGCGCAATGAATTATGGTTCGTCGCGCAATGTGTTATAAAAACGCAACAAAGCATAGTTGGATGGCTAGTTCGTCGCGCAATGTGTTATAAAATCGCAGCAAAGTGTAGTTGGATGGCGGCAAAAAGTTGAAGAACAAGGTTTTGCACGACGATGCTTTCATCGTGGAAAGTCTTTCACTTTGTTGAACTTAACCAGAGTGCAGGAAGGCAAAAGCTGCAAAACAATTGCAACAGCTGTCTTTTCCTGCTGGAGTTTCCAATAGTTGGAGGTATAAATTTTTCTTAACTACCTTATTTAATTTTCATTTATTTAAATTATGTTGTATGTAGTTTATAAGTGTTGTGAGTTTATGTATTTGTATGCAAACATTTTTGTATGGATGTACAAAAAATGGTTTGCAATGTTCATATGAGCTTAGTTTCTCGTTTAAGAATTAGTTGGATTTCGCGAATGGATGCGAAAGTATGATTGGAATCCAATTAATTCTTGAATTGTCCCAAAATTTTGGACAGTTTGAGAATGCATAGTTACATATTGTATTTTGTGGTTCATGCATTAGAGTTTGAACTTGGGAAATGTGGTACCATCTCTTTGTGTTCTTCGGGTGCATCGTAGTTTTTTGTATCTACATCGTGCACTTCAAGAATTGCAAGGAGAAGCTGCCGAAATTTTCCCACAATCGAGCTCTAATGTGTTGGAACCGTAAATTACAACACGTTACTGTGCATTCTCCAAGAAGATAGGATCCATACCAGAGGCATAAGGTAGCATGTCATAGTTGAAGTTGTTGTAACCCTTGGAATTTTTTTTTTTTTTTTTTTTTTTTTGCAGGTGAAATGGACAAACAGTGGATACATAGTCCTAACAGATGTGCTGATGATTATTTGGATGGAATAAATGAGTTCATTGATTTTGCAATTGCAAAAAACCGTTGTTCAACTTAAATTCGGTGTCCTTGTAGAAAGTATAACAACTTGATGATTGAATATTTTGAAACTGTTCGATACCATTTAGTCATAAATGGGATGATGGAAACCTATACTACGTGGAATCATCATGGAGAACAAATATAATATGCTTATCCTCCCACATTACCCGAGCAGTGGTTACAGTTGGATTTGTTGTGGAGCCAAATGATCAAATTACGAACACTATCAATTGTAATACCCTAAAAATTTAAATATATGAAAATGCAGAGAAAAATCGAAAATAAATCGATTTATGGGTATGAAAAATAAACGGAGTTATAATGAATGAAATAGAAAGGAACGAAGATAGAGGCAAAATAGTCATTTTGTTATGAATTCTAGAAGGCTCCATAATTATGGGAGCCTTGTCTTGAGAAAAAACAAAAAAAGAAAGAAAGAAATGAGGGAAGCCATAGGAGTGGCTAAGAGAAGGGGAGGAACAATGAGAGAGGAAGGAAGAAAATGGGTGACCAATGGGGGAAAGAGAGAAGAAGAGTGAATCAATGGGGATGAGAAACAAGGAGAGGAAAAGGGGGAGGTGAGATGAAGGGGAAACTAGTCCCTTCCCTTCCACCCGTTTGTCCTTCGTGACCTGGTTAGGACCCGGCGTCCCCATGTGATTTTTTGACGATGTTGCGTCATTTCTCCGACGAATTAGTACACCCCATCGCCTACATCCATCATCATGACTCTTCTTCTTCGTTGTCCACCCATGGAGCGAAGGAAATTGGCCTTGAAACTACAAAAACCCGCATAGTGGGTGCAACGGGTTCATGGTGGTAATACACCAAATTTGAAGGTAACTCCGACCACTACCACTACCAATGGACTTCTAGTGGACCCAGGAACATGTCCCAAGCCTTGGTTGGAGCGGCGGAGCACCGATGGCGACGGATTGAACCACCCAAATTCTATGGTTTTCGACAGGTTTTTTGTGAAATTGGGGCTTTTCTTGGCCAAGTTGGACTTCGACTCAGGTATAAAAGTTGTCCCCTTAACTTGCTCTACATTTCTATAAAATTTGGAAATTTTTAGAAATTGTGAAATTTTCTAGTGAGTCGGGGCGGCTGACTGCCACCTACGACGGCGCATGGTTAGTGAGCTAACATTGCATTTTTATGCGAATTTTGTTATTCCAATTATGTTTTTGATATCTATTTGATGCGTTTTGATTATTAACACAAATGTTGGATATTTTGTTTAATTGAATATTTTTCAGTATTGGTTTGGTTATTGAATTGTGAACTACGAAAGGCTTGATCCCACTCAAGGGTACCTAGGCAGTCTAACAGAGTTAGATGCAGCCTTAAATACTCGAAAATTAATCTTTTGTTGAGAAGTGGTTTTAATAGAAGAAATTGAGGATAAAATTGATAATTGAATTGTATGTTTTAGAAGTTTTAAAATATGGTTATAGAAATGTGAGGAATTAAGGAATTTAGATAAAGAATCATGATTAATGGTAGCTAAAGATAAAAGTTTAATTTGGCCTATCACCGAAATTATTTACCAAAAAGGTAAATTTTCAAGGAGAGACGTTACAAATGGTATCAGAGCAAATGATCCAACTTTACAAAGTGTTGTCAGAATAAAATATGATATTTGATACTTTTTATTTTTTTTTGTTTTCCCACAAGTCTCAATTTGTATTTAAAACAATATGTAATAAACTTACCAGGTCTTCATTGCTATCATACTTTTACAGGTTTTGTTTTAAGGTTCTGATTGATAAAGCAAAAGCTCCTTCAAATTTAGCGGAGTGGACTAAGAATTCGGGGCTTTTATTAATGATATATCATAGGCCACTTTCAAGGTAAATTCAGATGTCAATTGCTATGCAATTTAGTTTTTACTTTTAGTATGTTCCGAGTGACCTTTGAATTTACATGATTAGTTGTTTTCGTTGTGCGTATAACTATTCTATTTATCCCCATCCTCTGATGGTGTTTGCTGCATTGTAGCTACACAATCTCGTATGGTTCCATTGCTGGGCATAAAAGAAATTTCGACTTTTTTATTTTTTATTTATAAATTTATTTATCTGCATATTATTTTGGTTTGTTGAAATTTCGACTATTGTTTGCTTTGTGCTGGACGTAAAAGGTTTTTCTTCAATGATTATATATATGTTTAGTGGTGGGTTTCTTTGGTTCATGTGTTACATGGTGGTTAACCATGTTTTTCACGGTGGATCACCTTCTCACTAGCTTTACCTTCTTAATATGTGTTTGTGTGTGTGTGTGTGTGTGTGTGTGTGTATGTATGTATGTATGTATTTATGTCTATATATGTATGTATGTATGTATGTGTATATATATGTATGTATGTATGTGTGTGGGTATATATATGTATGTATGTATGTATGGGTTACACAGATGCTTAGACATGCCACCCAAGCCTAAGCATTAGGAAAAGTTTGTTCTCCTCGGTGATAGAATTTGGTATCTTTCAGTACGCGATGGAGGTATATTGTCAGTAACAAAGTTGGGATTGTTTTTTTTTTTTTTTTTTTTTTAAACAAACGATTTTATCTATACTAAAGAAACGGGAAGTAGCCTAAACATTAAAAGTTAGAAAAAGTTTGTCTGCTTTAATTGGTGAAAGAGTTTATATGAGTTTATATTCTTTCGGTCTACAATGGATGTACATTCCATTAGCAAGTCCCGTTCTTACTACTTAATTTCCATGTAATTTTGTTTTTTTCGATTTAATTGGGTTCGCAAAATTTGGAATTTTTGTGTTGATTTTGGTGTTTATGCCAATCTGGGTTTGAAATTTGAGTTCTTGGCAATCGGAATTTTAGCAAATTTTGTAGAATCTGTAAAATTGAACCTTGAGCTAGATTTATTAATAATTAATGAAATCCCAACATAATTTCGATTTGGGAAATCAGAATTTTGCTAGAAGTTGTGGATTCAGTCACAAATTTGTAATTTGGCTCCTTTTTTCATATGATTTTCCCTCTGTTTGCAGCTTTGTTTTGATTTTCTTGGATTGCCCTTTTGATTGTTTGGTAGGCAAGACTATGATGCGGAAGACGGCGAATGAAGTGAAACTGATGAGTTTTGGCAAGATTTTGGAGAAAAAGAAGACAGTGGATCACTGTAAATTACCTTTGGTTGATATTGGTGGGGGAATTATCATGATGCGTGTTGTTGGACAGCCAGCTATGGAAAAAGCTAAAACAGGTAATGTTTCAGTTAGGAACTTAATCTCAGATTTTGTATAAGAATCTGCTGGGGTTGGGTGGCCAAAGGCAGGACATATTAAATTTGGCCTTTAGTGTGCTTAAACTGGCAGGGATGATCAGAATTGATGTTTTTAGTTATTAAAACGTGCCATTTATGCTGTAAACTACACCAAGAGGACGGGGGATGGTTAGAACTTTGAACCCGGGATGCAGTGGGGCTAAGAGAATTATCCTCCCCACCGGGCCAATCAACCACTTGTAGAATTGTTGTTAAAATACCTCTGCTGAAAATATGAGCTTTACTTTCTGCACTTTATTTTTACTGTAATGTGGAAATAGTCTTTACAATGGCTTATTTGTGATAATTGATAAAGAGGTTTGTGTTTAAGACGAGAGTAGTGCGGTACCTTTCTTGCAGTGGAATATGTATTTGTGAATGTCGTTTTGTGCGATTTTTTTGAGCATCAATTTATTGCCAGTTGCTGTTATCCAGATTGTATCTTTTTTTTTTTGGTGGAAATGATTTATAGCTCATCCGGCTTATGGTTTGAAAATCTGCAGCGGAGTGCGGGCACTTTTGCTGGTTTGATCTAAATTAATAGGTGAATATTTTTGTCCCGCAACTTTTCCTTGCAGTTCGATTGAACAATTAGTTCGCAACATGCTGTTGTGCTTTGTCTATCCTTTGGTATGAAGCTGAAAATTGTAGTGTCTTTGAGCTTGTTTGGATGTGCTTTTAAAATGACTAAAAGTATATTTAGAGAAAAGGTTTTTTTGGTTCCAAATGCACTTAAAATGCTTTCTGCAAGAAGCACCAGTTATGAGCTTCTTCCAAGAAGCATTGTAAGTGCTTTTCCAGAATTTACTTGCATTTTTACTAAGAATTGGTTCCAAAAACATTTTCATCAAAAACGCTTTCAATCGTTTTAAAAGCACATCCAAACGAGCTCTTTATCCCTTTGATTCACCCACTGTAAGTCTACTTAGCTCCAGGTGAAGCCATTCAAGTCAAACTGTCTGTAGCTTGAAGTTTACTTATATTTTTAGAAATGTTTATTAATTTTTTAAAATTTCAGCAGAAATCAATTGAAATGAAGTACAATTTGATGATTGAATGCAGGGAAGATGCAGTTGAGATCCTTTTCTCGCTCTCAAATCCAGCGAATCGAGCTGGACCACCAGTCCATCCGCACCACCAACGTTTCTCCACTTTACTAAAGGTAAGCGATCCATCCTACTCTAAATTTAAAAAATTTGGGGGGTTTTGTTTCCTTTTCAATACCAATCAGGTAATCGGTCTGCATGAACGGATTTGATAGATTAAAGCCCCGTGGACCTGATTGGAGTGGTCTATGCCAGCATGGAGATTGCTTCTTTGCTCATTAGAGGCTGGCCATTATTGACCCTGCTTCTAGTGATCAATCTCTGGAGATTGTTTCTTTGCTCATTAGAGGCTAGCCATTATTGATCCTGCTTCTGGTGATCAACCTTTATACAATGAAGATAAATCAATTGTTGTCGCGGTAGGGTCACGTCATATATTTTTAAATTTTGTGTGGTTTAATTTATTGAGTATTTGAAAAAATAGATAAATTTTCAATTTTCGATTACTGATACGATGCGTATCTTGATTGGTGATTTTGTTGGATTCACTCTACTCAAGTATATGATATCTGAATTGCTACATTTGAAAATGTGATTCTGTTCCTACCACCATCTTCCCCACCTTCTGGGGAAATTATTCATGCTCACAATAGATGCATTCAACCCCACATTTTCTAGTGAAAACTAAAGCTCAATCAAGATTGAACACAATATTTGGGTCGAACAAAAATAAAAAGTAGTTTGATTAGTGATCAGGTATGCTTTACAACAGAAAAACAACAAAACTAAGAATCATAATTTGCGAAGATCAATCCCAGCTTTCTTCACAACAACATCGATAGTAGGGTAAGGTTGAGAATAGATTGGACAAGAGGGAAAGGTTGCCCAATCAATCATTGACAGGAAAATTTAGTATCGAGTTACACAAACCTACTTTGTATTAAGATTAAATGAATTGCAGAACATTTATGGATGAAATGACATTGGAGAGAGAGACTACAATATGTGAGTGATGAATTAGTCAAATAAGCAGATGAGCCAGTTACCCCGTTTGAATGATCACTCACATACTGTTGTAAACCTCATTGACTTGATTGCTAAGCCTTGAATGAATTGCAATACATGATCTTAGGTTTTTATTTTCTAAATGAGTAAAAAAAGATAAATTTACATATTAAATTGGATTTGTGAGGGTAGTTTAGGTAATAAATTTGGATTTAAAGAGATATTAATAGTTTAATTGAAAAAAAATATGGCTCTAGAAAGTAAGTTAGATATAAAAAGAAATTATACGGGTTTAAATAAAATTTTCCTAGATCAATTTTCCGTTGCTACCCCTAAACGATAGCCCTTGTCCATGCGACGGAAAACACACCTCTCACTCATCAGGTCACCATGGACAGTGCATTGGCCAAAAATACTTAACCAAAAATATTTTCATCATTTTAAAAACATTTTGAAATGATCCATCAATTTCTATTATTAACCGGAAAAGCCTTTTTTTTTTCCTTGAAATTCAATTTTATGGTGAAATTGGAAATATTTGGTGAAGTGGGAAGAATAGTTGGGAGGTGGGTACAGGAAATTGCGGGGCAAAATAGAATTTTACCACGATACAAATCCCAGGATCTAGAGACTAGAGCGAGCCTACATACACACTCCCTCTCGCCATCTCTAGTCATCTGCCCTCCGCACCCCTCCTCTCAATCACCACCGCCACCACGGTTTCATCTTCTCCTTCTTACTTGGTAATCATATACTCTATTTTTCACTACTATTGTATTTATAAATTTCGTTAATAATTAAACTTTGTTTCTCTGGAAAGGGGAAAGAATAAATTGAAAAAACATTTCAAATGAATTTTGAAATCGAGCAAAGCATTTTTTTTTTTTGTCAGTATTAGTATTAACTGAATTTAACATGCTTTAAAATTCAGATCGAGCTCGAGCGTTAAAATTTACTAGTATTATTTGGGTTCAAAATGATTTTGTATCTGGTTTATTTGCTTTTTTGTTCTTGTTTTCGGTTTCGGTTTCGGTTTGTATGCTTTTGTTTAATTGTTTGATTGGTTTCTTACTTCGAATTTATGGATTCATTTTTAAGGTGTTTAGGTTGATGATTAGTGTAAATTTCTAATTGTTTGTTTGTAGCCTAAATTGTTTGAAGATTTAAGAACATATATAAAACAGTGGGCTCAGGCCTCAACCGATCAAACCAGCCAAGTAAAGCTGATCACTTTGCCAATGGGATTGGTTCGGTTAGTTTGTAAAGAACAGAACATAACCTACTTAATTGGGAGTACCAAAACTGTTTCAGTTGGCAGCAGTGAGAAACAAACAAACGAACGATCATCGTTGTGATGATTGCATTACCAGTTTAGTTCTATTCTAGTGCTCAATTATAGTCTCGTATTGAAATTTACATTTTCAAGGTTTATCTGCTTATGAAAAAAGTGCAATGTGCCTTAAGAGGTCCTGGACAGAAGGCATTATTCATAGACATCACCCTTATGTCCTCTCCCAAATAACATTGGCACTGTGACTGTATTTCTAAGTCCTCGAGTTTTTATGTGCAAACTAATGTCCCACAGAAATGATATCTGATTCGTATCGTGAGACTCGGGTATCAGCTATTCTTCAATTAAAAAAAGCATTTGGTGTGCATTTAATTATTAAGGTTGCTCAGTTTACCTATCATTGCCATTGTAGCAGCAAAATGTTCTGGATACCTAGCTACATAGAAATCAACCTTCTTTCCATTTCGTAAACTGGTGAGATGATCCTTTCCGGCAGAGAGTAACATACAGTTTGAGATTGGATTGCAAGTTTCACCATTAATTACATAAAAGTGACAAAAAGGAAAGAATGCTTGAAGTTAGTAAGTTATGATGTTAGATTATACATGTATTCACACTATATTCTCGTTTTAGAAGGTTGAAACTTTTTTAAGATTTAATGGGATTCTGTAGCTGCCCCCTTATTGTTTGGTCCGTTACTGGATATGGTTTTGATTTTAAACTTCTTTTTGGTGGTGGTCTGCTGTTGGGTCAAGATTACCAACTTATGTTATGTGTAGGACCTATTTACCATGTATTTGAAATGAATATTGTGGTTCAATGTATCCTTCTGTTCAACATGGGTGTTCCAAGATATTTCAATGAGAACTCAGTGTCCTCTTCTGTTCTAAGATGGCACTAGAACTGGATTAAAAGAATTGATATTACATTTTATGATATGGTAGGCTATTACATAGGATTATTGTTTGAGTTTGTATACACTTTCACATGATTGACTTCAGATATGAACACTGAAATTACCCCCCTGGAACTCCAAATGGATTGCTGATTTTTCAATGTTTGCAATCACATGTTGTTACTCTTGTTTATTCATTTTATTAGTGTAATATTGGTGTTTTGGTTCACATATTATGCATTTAGTTTTTGAGAAAATAAAACCAGAAAGAAATTTTTACTTCTGGTGTTGCCTAAAGGTTTCTAGAAAGTGGGAATTTTTAGGTTCCAGAAAATATTATGTTTTACCTTTGTTTTATATTTAGTTTTATTGTGTGTCTTTGGAAATTGAGTTTAAGTGCATGCATTTGGTTGAAGGAAGTGTTACAGACTCTGATCTAAGCAGAGGAATGGTATTGATGAGGGGAGAGCCACTAGTGACGAAACTGGCAGCCTTGGCCAAGTACGTGGTTTTTCCTGGAGCCATGGCCGCAGCTGTTATCTATTCCCCTCCTGATTACACTTCCAAGAACGATCCTAAATCCACCAAATAAGACTAGCTCGGTCGGTACTTTTTCTCTGCAAGGGTGTTTTTCATTTCTCTTGTTATGTCAGATTTTTTACCTCTATGATGATTTGGATGATTTGCAAGTTCCGCTTACCACTTTTTGGCTTTACCTTTCACAACCTTCAATCATTATTCTTATAAGATTGTATAGATATTACCCACATATATGCTCTGCTGTATATCTGTAAAGGGCTCCGGACGTGCTGAAGGTATTATAGGTTACATAAAGGAGAACAAAGAAAATAGTAAGTGACTGCTGTGCTTGATCATTTGGGAAAATGACTGTGTCACTGGCAGAGCAAGTGAATAACTTGCAAATTGCAGATTGAATAGAAATAATGCAAAAAAATTTCTTCTCGGAAGGAGAACCTAAATAGGAGGGCCAAATGTCAGTTCTATTGCTTCAATTCACAGTTGAATTATATTATCTTTCAAACCTTTTTTGTTGCAAAGGATTAGTACCGATCCTAGATTCCTGACTAACAAAACAGCCACTCACTAGAAAAATAACTATGCCTTGTGTCACAGAATTCATTGAAACAACCAAGAACAATACCACTACATCTGCCGACGTTAGTGGCACTTGTCCTTTCACTTTCTCTTTATTGCTTGTGGACATTGATGAAGTTTAGAAACTCATGCTATACTGTAATTAATTGTGAATTTCCTTTTGTACAGGGGCATGCTGCATAGAAGTCGATGTTAGAAGAACGATTACTAAATGCGTCTCTCCCTTTGTTCAAATTTGGTATGTAATAATCTGGGCTAAGTAGTTGCTCAATTTCAGGGGTGTTTCCTGCTTTCTTTGAAGAACTTAGACCATGAAGTCTTTGGATGTACTTTCTCAATGTAGTTTCCCCATTTGGAATGTACTTCCAATGAAAAACGCTTTGGAGTACAATAATTGTTGGATAACGGGCGGAGTGTAGTGCTACAAGTAATGATATATGTTGTATTCACAACTCTGCATATGGCTTTATGTTGCTTGTCATGAATGTTACCCTTTAAATAAAATGCAAATGGTTACAATTTTCTTTTAATCTTTTTATTAGTGGGAGAAGGGGATTTGAAATCGGGATAATTTCAACGTTGGAAGAGAAATACTACTGAACCAATATCTAGTTGGCAGTCCATGGGGAATATTGTATTTTGATTCCGAATGCATGGCGTGTGTTTGTGTGTGCTGAATATGGAGGTTGAATTGGACCATTTTGTGGGATAAAAATTGAGAGGGGAGTTTAAGAAGGCTGGTGCAATAGAATTAACTCTGGAATATTAGGTTCGTTTGAAAGTACTTATAAAATAATTGAAAGTGTTTTTGATAAAAATATTTTTAAATCAATTCTTCATAAAAAAAATTAAGTGAATTCTTAAAAAACATATAAAGTACAAGATATGCATTTCTTGCATGAAACCCTTAAAATAATTTGGAAATTCAAAATCAACAAATAACCAGTGTATGAGACTACCAGAGATGCCAAATAGATTTTCTCAAAGTGGGATTCTTCATAAACTTTCTCTCACCTCATGCTTTTAACACAATATTTTATAATGTTGACACAAAAATTATGTAAAAAATAAGAAGTGATAGAAAATTCCTAAAGAATCTCGCTTTAAGAGAATCTCCTCAGCATCTCTGCTAGGACAGTAACTTTAGGCTATCTTCCGGAAGTACAATGTTACCTTTAAGCTATCTTTTGCTGTAAGGGGAAAAGTGCTTAGAAATGAGAGTGTTGTCCTTCTCATGTTTGAAAACCCCAGCCTTTGAGAAATGATTTCCTGCGTTATGGAAAATAGCGGAAAAATACCTGAATCACAAAAGGCAGCAAAAAGCTAACCTAAATCCCACTTAAGCTCAAACACCCAGATGACCAAATCTCCCCAATGTCATCAACTAATGATTCGAATGTTGTGAGACGAGAGAGAAGCAGTGGTTGGTGCAACTGGTCTTTCTGTCTTAGTGGGCGTCTCTAATTATCAGACAGAGAGCGAAGATGAAGAGAGAAAAGAGCTGGCGAGAGAAGAAAACAGGGAGAAGAGAGCCGGCGAGAGAAGGAGACGGGGAGAATGGCGAATGAAGGCGAGAGAGAGGCCAGCTCGCGCGAGAGAGAGCAAAAAGAACCCGACTAATAATCTAGGCCTTTTGGACGGTTTTATTACGCGGGTGTACGGCGTATTAAACAAGCGTATTAAATTAATCTAGTCCAATTTAATACGGGATGACGTCAAACGATTAAGTTCGTATTATTAGTCTTATCGGCTCACTTATATGACCAGCCAAATGAGGCACAAGGTTATGATTAGTATTTTAAAACATTGTTTCTATGTTTTTAGGCTGGACTTTAGTTGTTTTTATGTTTTGATCTCTTCTTGACATGTTTAAAAACTAGTGGAGTTCTTTGAAATATAATGAAACTTGTCACACACTCGCACTTCAGTTTTAGATTGTGCGGTGCAGGGATCTAAATGAGACATATTGGGTATCATCCACGATAATTCGCGTTGTTTTTCAGAAATGTTGATGTTTTTATCTTCCCTTAATGATGAGAAGACTGTCTCATCAAAGTGACAATCCGCGTAATGAGCGGAAAGAGATCCCCTGTCAAAGGTTCTAAGTAACGAATGATTGAAAAAGAATCATAACCGACATAGATTCTCATCCTTCTCTAAGGACCCATTTTTGTACGTAAGGGCGGTGCAATCGGCACATAGATTAAACTACCAATGAAGTATAGATGCAAGATGTCGGGCTCGTATCCAGTTATCAACTGAAACGTAGAATAAGGTTGGGTCACGATGGGCCTTCGATGGACCAACATGATTGCATGACTTTATATGCTGACTAATGATTTAAGCTTATGGGAAAAGAATCACTAGAGTAATAGATAATCTAAAACGAAATTTATCTAGGATTTACACAATCAAAATTCAAAAAATATTTATAACAGATACATGACTTTATATGTTGACTAATGATTAAAAAAAAAAAAAAGATTTTATGAGAAATACTGATGCATGTATATTCATATCTACCAAATTTCTTGCCAATTATCATGGTATTACCTACCTTTTTATTCAATGCTATAATAATTTGGTGTCGAAATCGTCATCGACAAAGATTTACATTAGTTGAATGCTAGTCATAGAACCATTATGTGCAAAATTTCATACCAAGTGTTAAAATATAAAAGCTTTAAGCTTGGTTTATCCAAACACAAAATTTAGTATTAGAGCTTTTCTCACCGATGTGTGAGTGTCCCCAATTTCGTTCCTTTCTCAACGGCCGACCCTAGCTATGGCCAGGGTCGGTGACAATCATTCTCTTCTCCTTTTTTTTTTTTTCCTTCTCCTTCAGTTTCCATTTTCCTCAACTCAGTGGCCTGTTTACCACTTTCCTCCAACCCCTGTGCATCAGCTTTCTTTGATTTTTTTTTTTTTTCCCTTTTTCTGATTCCCCCTTCCTTCCACTTTTTCCCATATTTCCTTCCTTCCACCTTTCCTATGTTTCCTTCCTTCCATCTTTTTCCCTTTCCCGTTTACCATGGAGGTCTATTTTTTTGTTTGTGTGTTTACTGTGTTTGGGCATCTTCTTATATTAATTATGTTATGTTGGTAATAAAGTAACATTTGACAGAAAAAAATAAAAAAAAAAACATAGAAGTTATTGACTTTTGGTGAAAACCCCATGCAGAAATTTAGGTAAAAATTTGGACCTCAGTGTACATTGGATTTTCAATAATTCAATTCATCTCATATTATACAAACTTGTTTATGAACTTTTATATTACGTTAAGTGATGGAAGAATCCTGTTAGTGATAGATTTCAACCATGACAAATATATTCTTATTTTGCTTTAATTTTCTTTCAAAATCTATTATTATGCATTTACTTTATTTACAATTTTGCGGATTATACAAATGAGGATAATGAGATTGACTTTCAAGGTTTATAAGGTATAGCGTTTGATATAAAATTTGGTGGATATGTACAAACATACATATTTAGAAATTAAACATGTCATTAGGAATAAGTATATTAGGTATGAATTAGGTGTTTTCAACATATTAAGGTAGTCACTAAACATGCATAGATATTTCTTTAAATTGATTTACTCGGCACGTAAGCTTTTAGTCATCATATATTAACATGTATCTACCAATATTAAAATAATAATTGACCTTCTATAAATTCGTAGATTGTGATTAAATTTCAAATCTATCCCCCATTGGTTAACTTTAAATAGAGAGCCTTTTGGACCACTATATATACTAGGTTATTGTTGCAAACATTTCAGATGTTCTATGAATATTGTTTTCTTTGGGTTTGATATAGTTGGAGGTAAACTCTAGTCGGTCGATGATTTACCAAGAAGCTAATCAGAGAGTTTGCATCTCCACTTAGCTTCCTGGTAAATCATGGATTCGATTAGAGCTTGATTCCATGTAATAGTTACTTAGTAATGAAGACGAATTCTAGTTGGTTAGTGATTTACCAAAAAATCATTGGAATAATATGCCATAAGTTTTTTGGGTAAATCGTTATTCAACTAGAGCTTGGTTTTTCAAGAAGATGTAACATGCTATCACAAGGTTTCCGCAAATATGTCACCCTTTTTCCCTACGTTTTGTTTGTTTGTTAATATTCCATTTGGTTTTTAATTGACTATCAATTTGCCCTTCTTGTTAGATTGTTGCCTCTTTATCTTCAATGGTTGGGAAAACTTTGCATATGAAGGCCGGTGACGTTGAAATAGACACATTTCATAGGTGTATAATATATGACCGACCATTTCAACATGAACAAACCGGGCAAGTAATTCCACACGCGCCTTGCCAAACAGTTCACAAATTCTCCAAATTGATAAACAATCAAAGATGGAATCGCTCCCAACAAAAGCTCAACCTATCACCAAAAAGACCATATTTGGTTACAAGGTTCTAAATGTGCTAGTCGGGTAGCATGCAAAGACTTAGCGTTTAGAAGCTTAGGCGGTTTTTCTTTTAACTAAATTTATTACCTAATGATAATAACATATATTTAAATGTTTCATTATAATTTAAAAAAAAAAGATTTTCTATTTGAAAACAAAATGTAAAATGAAGGATATATCAATTATATAGAACTAGATGAAGCTCACACACTATGTGTATATGAAATATATAACAATATATATATATATATATATGTATGTGTGTGTGCGCACGCGTGTGCGTGTGTGTATTAATTAATGAAACTCTTTTTGTCAACCAAAAGATGGTGAAAAGACTACTTAGTCTTCTATTACACAAAAAAAAAATGATGGGCAATAATGTAATTTCACAAGTTCAAATTTTACTTTTTTTTATTGAAGCCTTACCTACATGTGATGTTAATATACTTCCAATATTTATAAATAAAAAATAAAAAATAAAAAATAAAAAAAAATAAAAAAAGAAAAACCAAAAACAAAAGGGAGTTTTAACGAAAAACCCCCACTCCTTCCACGTTCTCTCTCTCTCTCTCTCTCTCTTTCTCATTTTTAAAAAAAATATGTTCATACACACAAAGTGTGCGGGCAAATGCTAGTATATATGAAAGAAAGAGAAATGTGAATAAGAAAGGGAGAGGTTTTTATTTCTTATTTTTTAAATTAGAGACATGATTAATGATTTGATGATATGTGGTTAAGGGAAGAAAAAACAACAAGTGCATAACAATTCAGATTACTTTGCAATCGAAAAACAAGAAAATTTAAAGATTGCTGTTGTTATTTCACATCAAGACCTGAAGCAGTATCCTATTGAAAATGGTCGTCTGCAATGTCTTGGTTCGAAATAAAGCATTGTTGACCTCCTCTCCATTATGGTTCGGCCATTTTTATTTTCATTTGTAAAAACAAATCACTTTTATTTTCTTAACCATTCGGTTGTTTCAGTGACCGATACTTAAAAAAATAAGGGGCCTATAAGCAACGAGCTTACATATATAAAAAAGAAAAAATTATAAACCGAGCATTAAATTTGGCATGTATTAAATATTAATCGACATTAAATTTGACTT